TAAAGTGTCACACTCAGATCGTGGTAACGTTTATTTGTTGTTTTATAAATGTTATTCTGTAGAAAGTGTCACACTCAGATCGTGGTAACGTTTATTTATTGTTTTATAAATGTTATTCTGTAGAAAGTGTCACACTCAGATCGTGAGTAACGTTTATTTATTGTTTTATAAATGTTATTCTGTAGAAACTGTCACACTCAGATCGTGGTAACGTTTATTTGTTTGATTTTTTATCGAGCAGAGCAGAAAGGTCTTACTGGTTTACTAAAAGCGAGAGAGAGATGTACTTCCTGTCGCCACTTTTGAACGACAGGCGTGCCCTCTTGCGACCACATCTGAAATTAACCTTTTAAGTTAAAGTTTTTGAATTCACAGTAAAGCATCATTGAACTTATTTTACTTCAGACATCCGCGAAAGGCTACACAATAAACCATCTGCGCCAGTCGTCCCAAATTTTGTAGTGATAGACTAGAGGGGGAAGCAGCTAGTCAACAGCACCCACCGCCAACGGGTGGCTACTCTAATTGACTGTCACAACCCTAAAGTACCGAGTACAATTATTACAGCAACAGGATAGGAAACACTAAACCACACCAGGAAATCTCACTTAAAGCAAGAGTTACACGTTTTAGATCGAGAAAGGTCAACTTGTGTAGAGACAGGAAAACTTGTTTACTTAACAAAGTTTTTAGAACATTTCTTGTTTGTACATATGTTAAAGGAAATCAAAAAATATTGTTGTTTTTATTAGTATTTTGGTTTTATATTAGTGTTTGAATGTTTATTTAATTCTTCATTTCTTTGAACTTATTTTTCTCTGTCCCATCCAGTTCTTGTAAATCCGTAGTGATGAAATGAAGTTTTTAAAAATTATCTGACAAGTTTCCTATGGAGAGCACACATAGTTTTCAGGGGGGTCTACAATGTACGAATGATCAGCAGTTGTGTAATATTTAAAATGATTCATATTTATACAGACAGATGGCGACACACGTGCCATGCTTCCGCTTAGACTTCAGACAACGTGAAAGATGTTGAAGTGCATATTTTAATAATGAAGAAACCACGTTAAACAAACGTTTGCGTAAGTAGCCTACTAACTGAGAGTTAATTAATATTCGTCTGTTTTATTTCTAGAAAACACGTTCATCTCTCTCCCACAAAATAACCAAATCTGGTTGTTTCTAAATTGCTCCGGTCATGAAATATCTTGAACTTACACAAAGTACAAGATCTACTGCGAAAATGGCCACTGGATATTTTTCTGTAAACTGATAAGGAGCGAGAACCTTTCGTATAAATAAATTCGTAAGACTAGAGGAAAGGCAGCTAATCATCACCACCCACCGCCAACTCTTGGGCTACTCTTTTAGCAACGAATAGTGGGATTGACCGTCACATAATAACGCCCCCACGGCCGAAAGGGCGAGCATGTTTGGTGTGACGGGGATTCGAATCCGCGACGCGCAGATTGCGAGTCGAGTGCCCTAACCACCTGGCCATGCTGGGCCTCGTCTCAATTGTCAGGTTTTATGTGTTGGGCAGGGTTCTTTACAATATGTGTCTGGCGATAAATTTCAATAAACAAATGGCAGACAGTCTATTTGTTTTAAAATAATATATATATATATAAGAAGACAAGTTAATGGTGAGTTATGAAGGTTGGGAACACATTCTCATAGTAATAATAAGTTATTCAACAAATGAACGAAGCTCCAGGAACCAAAGTATTCCAACCAATCACGTTAATGAGGGTTAAAGAAACAAAAGATAATACCTTACTTACACACAACACATAAACACCAACTGTTTGTTTCATGTGCTGCTGTACACTTCACATTCTTTGAAGAACTTAACATGTGTATAATCAAAACATTAGACAATCCTCCCGAACAACATTTTGTGACCAATAATACTTTATTAGAGCTAGTTAGTTAATGACCGAGAAAAATAAATGTGGTTATAATGAAGTATCATTCATTTTCTTCCCATACTGAAACGAGAATTCCTTCTATTAAAAAAAAATGGACAGAAGGTTTGAGTAGAAATACATTTATTTACATACAACTATCTTAATGAATGTGTATTTCTCTACAAAATAACCACACTATTTTTGTTTAGGCTAAAGGTCGGTATAATGTCTTCTATTAAAAAAAAATGGACAGAAGGTTTGAGTAGAAATACATTTATTTACATCTTAATGAATGTGTATTTCTCTACAAAATAACCACACTATTTTTGTTTAGGCTAAAGGTCGGTATAATGTCTTCTATTAAAAAAAAAATGGACAGAAGGTTTGAGTAGAAATACATTTATTTACATACAACTATCTTAATGAATGTGTATTTCTCTACAAAATAACCACACTATTTTTGTTTAGGCTAAAGGTCGGTATAATGTCTTCCACGTATTGGTTCCGGTTCTTTCAGTATTAGCCCTTCTTCTTCTAAAGTCTTTAAAAATATCTGGAGCTGTTGTAACATAAAACATTCATCTTAGGTTAATGTCAAAAACATTCCTTTTAAAAACAAAGCACAAATATTTTTGTGGAGCTTTTAAATAAAAAAGAAGAATCAAATTAGTTTGTTTTGTTTTTTTTCTGTCCACAACAGAATATTCATCACACCATATATGGGCTGTTAGAAGAAAAAAAATTAAACAAAGTTTTATGGATAACCACAAAATTATTACCAGTAATTAGGAATTTAAGATAAAGCCTTGAAGGAATTGTTCCGAGATACTGATTTATCACGAGACAAACCTTCTCGCATCAATTCCAGTTTTCACTTTAACATGTTAAAATAGTTAGCGTTTAAAAACTTGAGAAAAAGAAAAAAAAAACTCTAAAAACAATCGAGTTTTGGATTTGATAATTCAACGTATGTAAGTACACAAGTATAGAAAAACTTAAGCAATAGTTTGTTTGTTTGTTTTTGAATTTCGCACAAAGTTAAACAAGGGTTATCCGAGCTAGCCATCCCTAATTTAGCAGTGTAAGACTAGAGGGAAGGCAGCTAGTCATCACCACTCACACCAACTCTTGGGCTACTCTTTTAGCAACGAATAGTGGGATTAACCATCACATTATAATCGCCCCCACGGCTGGAAGGGGCGAGCATGTTTGGTGTGACGGGGATGAGAACCTGCGACCCGCAGATTGTGAGCTGAGCACCCTAACCACCTGGCCATGCCGGGCCCTTAAGCAATAAAGAAGACTTTTTATTTACAAATATTTGTTGAACTAACATTAAAAACCAACAGTCAACAGAAAACTTGAACTTAAAATCGGCTTATAAAGTCAGTGGTATTAGCAAAACACGTAAGCAGATATATTTGTAAAAATAATATATAACATGAAATATCTCAAAAGTGTATTTTAACCTCAATGCCAACTATCCCAAGAAATGTGACTATATCAACCTTAATGCCACACAAACATCACAAGAAATGTGTATATGTTATTATGTAACACCGAGCAGCACACTTACGTATATTGTAATCTTATTTAACACCAAGCATTCCACACATATGCTTTATAAATTTAACACCAAATACACCAAGAAATGTGAATATATTTAACCTTATTTAACACCAGGTATTCCAAAAATATGTATTTTAAATTTAATTAACACCAGGTATCCCAAGAAATGTAACACAAAGTATTCTAAACATGTGTACTTTAAATTTAATTAACACCAAGTATCCCAAGAAATGTAACACAAAGTATTCTAAACATGTGTACTTTAAATTTACTTAACACCAAGTATCCCAAGAAATGTAACACAAAGTATTCTAAACATGTGTATTTTAAATTTACTTA